ACTGTGGGCTCCTGTTTGGGCCCTGGTTGCTTCAAATTCCCCTCCCTTACTGACTCTGGGTACCTCATACTTTCAGAGGGCCTACCCAGCGTCCTCATTACTTCTGTTTCCTAACATGGTACCCTTGGGTCCTTTCCAGACCATGTCTTGCCTGCTGCCCATCTGTCGCCTCACAATATCCATCATTCAGGCTGTGATCTTGCATTTGCACCGAAAAACAGAAGTCAGAGGGAGGGGCCTTAAAGAATGGAGACAAGTTAAAGCCAGGGAAGGAGAGTTGGAAAGAGGTCTCCCAGCAGCAGAAAGCTGAGGAGTGTCCTGTGCTTGGAGAACTGAGAAGATGCCCCATCTCCCGATCACAGTCTTAACAGTCTCAACTGACTGGACCTGTCAGCGATTTGCACCCACAAATTGCATCTATAGATTCAATGTGGCTTCAAAACACTTGAGAAAATCGGTGCAGGTACCAAACATATACAGATTTCCATGCTGATGTTGTGCAAACAATACTCTATAATCAACGATTTTCTCAGCATCTGCACTGTGGTATGTGGGACAATGTGCACAGGCTTTATGCAAATATTATGTCATATTCAATAAGGAACTGGAGCATATGAGGGATTCCCACTCCCCATTTTTTCTTTTATTTTTGAGATTATAATTACAGAATCTCTCCCCTCTCTTCCCTGAAACCCCCTATTTCCCATCTGAGGACATTTCTATCGGCAGTCTCTCTCTCTCTCTCTCTCTCTCTCTCTCTCTCTCTCTCTCTCTCTCTCTCTCTCTCTGTGTGTGTGTGTGTGTGTGTGTTCTTGAGCCAATCCCCCGTGGTTACTGAAGGACAACCGCACAAGCAAAGCAGGAGCTGGGTGTGTCCACTACAGCAGTTCCTAAGAGACAAGGGGGTTACTGAAGTGATCCCATGATGACATTCAGGATGAAAGTCAGGAAGGAGGAATAAAAGACAGAAAGAAGCAGGAGCTGGGGCCACTGGGACCAAGAGGCTACTTTGCATGCCTCCTTGGACATTAGTTTCTGCTGTTGACATTACTTCTGTACCCTAGAACTACAACATCACAGGCTGCACCTGCCTACTAGACCCAACTCTGTTGCTCTAGCTTGGGGCCACAATAGGAGGTAGAGAAGCCAGGAGCCCTACTTCACACCTCGTGATTGGTGAGTGAGGCGAGTTTCACATCTGGGAGTTACTCTACTCCATTGTCTAAATGTTTCACACCCCAACCCCAACCATGCCTGTTCTTAACTGCCAATATTTTAAATGCAAACAAAATCATATCTGTTGCAGTTAGAGAAACACCAAAGCTACGGCATTTTAACAATGTTATTTAAAATTACCTCATTCTAATCTTAGTAGATAATACAAAACCCAAAATTCTTTCAGGAGACTTGAACGAATTAAAGTGATTTAAAATGGAACAACAGAAGCTCCATATAAAACCGACTAAGATGAAAACAAGTGCAGTTGTTAGGAAATTAAAGAAATGTCAACAAAGCTTCTTTGGGTGCTATATTTAAAAACACACAAACAAATGAAAAACAAAGACAAAAAAAATTGATTGTCAGCTCCTAGAGGGCAGGAGGTAAATTTACTGAAATGATCACATTTACCTATGGCACTGCCCCACAATATTTAGGATACAGCACTTACTAAGAGAATCAAGAAGGCATGGCATGATGCTCTTGAGTAATTGCAGTACCATTTGTCTTGTTTAGAGTGTCAAAGCACTCATTTCATGGTTAGAGTCTCACTATCTTGCTGCCATCTGATAACAATAAACAGATAAGTTCTGCGAGATGGGCTCAGATCCATTTTCCCTCACACACACAAAAGAAATTTTTTGGCAGTTCAGAGGCTAGCCTGTACAACAGAGGGCATGTATTTTAGAACACAGCAACGAGAAATTTAATGCTTATTTCACATCCCAACTGTGGATTCCAAATCGAAATGGGAAAGAGCATTTGCAGACTGGGTCACAGTGTCAAATGCGACAGAAGCCTTTAAAATTTGACTGTCCCTAACATCTTAAATTAAATTCTAATGGGCATATCCATCCAACCTAGCTTTTTGAATTCCCTTCTTGTCATACAGCCAAGCCATGGGCAGTTTTCGAAATGCCTTCTATGAGCATTTTGATGCATAGATAGTACGGGAGGGGTAGAGAGAGGGAATGGGCATGCTACAAGTACCAAGTCTCTGAAGACACATTCAGTCTGTGCTCTAATGGAACAGAACTAAGCCTTTAAGGTCCACACTCTATAACCCACACTACGCCTACCTCAGACAGAACTTGGCAAAGTACCGGGAGGATGCCAGTGACTCAACCCTCTATCCTTTGGAAATACTCAATTACTTGGTCAACATTAAGATATAGCTTAAAAAAGCAAGGGATAAAACCGGACTCTCTGAACATGGTGGACAATAAGGGATGATGAGAAGCCAAGGACAATGGCACGGGGTTTTGATCCTACTTCATGTTCTGGCTTTGTGGGAGCCTAACCAGTTTAGGTGTTCACCTTCCTAGATCTGGATGGAGGGGGGAGGACCTTGGATTTTCCACAGGGCAGGGAACCCTGACTGCTCTTCGGACTGGAGAGGGAGGAGGAGAAAAGTGGGGGGAGGGGGAAAGGGGCGGGAGGAGGGGGAGGGAAATGGGAGGCTGGGAGGAGGCGGAAATTTTTTTTCTTTTCAATAAAAAAAAAAAGATATAGCTTCACATGTCTTCATCTGTTCCAAGAAACCAAGCTAACATTTCCAAATCAGAGTCAGGACGATGAACTATTCCTGTCCTCCCTTAAAGGGGCCCATGAGTAAATCCGGCCAGCCCTTCCGATTCATGGCTAAATTCACAATTGATTTATTATCAGCGAGGCCCGAGGAAAGAGGCAGATGACTGAAGGTATTAGGAATGTCACTGGCGATTTCCTCTTCTTCCCAATTAAAGGCCTCGTGCTCTACACAGGAAAGTGAGCTTCTCCTCTCAAGTGCCCAGTAGGGAGGAACAAGCCTGAGAAAGTTCTGATTGTTTTCATTAAATATGGTTAACACCGGCAGCGTTCATTAGCACGAGGAACAAAGAAAATACATCTCCCTTCACAGTAGGAGTGAAGCAAAATGAGATGGCAGGAAGATGTATGGTGAGGGGATAGATTTAATAAATGGAATGGGAAGCACATAGACCGTTATCAAAAGGGAAGCTCACTTGATCCCAGGATGGTAGGTCTGCCCAGGTTTTTGAGCTTCTGCTCCCCTAAGGCTCACCGATAGAAGCAAGGCGTAGTCATGGCTTTATGACTAGGTGAAGGAAAATCAAGGCTATTTTAAAAGCTCGTTTTGGAGTGCCACATATGATATACTTATTAAAATATTTATGTGAAAGTCATACACAATTTAGAGAGCACGTTGCAAAATTTAAGAATATGCTTCATTAACAACACGTGAAGCCAAATGAGTCAATGGAAGACATGCAAATTGGGACAAAATACAAACTGCACTGATTTCATAAACCCAACACCACTCTGTGTCCAGGGAAGTCAGGACCTGTTTCTGTTACTAGCAAAAACTAAGTTGCAGCCATTTTGAAGTTCTTTCAACAAATATTTAAAGGAAAAGAAAGATGCCACTAATAAGTAAGAATTTTATTTAAATGTATCTATATACATACTAATTTCTAATGCTTTTACTTCGCATAAAGAGCCAGTAAACATTGGGGTCCTATTTTTTTCTTTGCGTGTTCTTAGTCCATATTTCATGCATTTGTTCATAAACTACTTAAACTCCAACATAAGAGGTTACTTCAAGGAAAATAACTGAGGCCCCAGCCTGAGAAGCTCAGGCTCTGTCTCCTGGGTTATTGAAGATAGTAGAAGGATAAATGAGCAGAGGCAAAGCTAATTTAATCTAGAGATAATTTTATCCAAATGGATGTTTAAAAACTGGAAATGGCAGCTCGGGAAATCTGAGACGCCACCAATTCCTAACATGGTTGCCTTTTCTAAGTCAGAACACCAATGCTGCCCTTCAATATTTAACCTAAGGATCTTTCTATTATTGTCGTATGTCCTTGGTGATACAGAAACCCAATTTCTATTTGGATTACAAAATGGGTCTCTTCCAACTGAGAGACAAGGCAACTTCTCCCCCGAGAATAAGGAAACACAGGTTGATACTGGGAGTCTGATAACACAGGCCTCATAGACTTCTGTAAAAACAACAAGGCTGCCAGGATGGGGCTGAAGAAAGCCGGGGTGAGGGTGGACAAACAGGATGAGCGATGAGTGACTGGTGGCTGAAGCTGTGCTTTGGTACACCCTGTCCACTCTACTAGTTCCTCTACTTTTTCTATAAGCATCAGAGAAAAGACTGAACTTAAATAGACCTTAAACTTCCTTCGAATGGTCGGTGAGAATGGGAGAGTAAACGGGAATGAATGCCACCACCAATAAACAGTCATAGATAATGCAAAAGCTTTTTTCATCAACTTAATCCCTTCCTGCAATACACGGCATAGCTAATCCCTGGGTGAGAGTCTCTTGTTATACTCAGCAAAATGGATTTACTAGGACTTTATTTTTCCTGCTTCCAACGAAATGGCTCCCAGCTGGGCAGCCAAGAGTGTAAAGCAAAGCAAAGGTTTTGGGATAAACATTAGTTGTGCAGTTCACTCCACAGATACTCAGGAGCTGACAATGTGACCCATAGGAAGCTTGGTAGAGAAACAGGTGTGATGGTCCTTCAACTTACATCCTGAATTTTCACAATACTCATCCCTCTGAAAAAAAATCACAGAAAGGCCAGTTACTTCCAATTACCTTGTTCTCTATAGAGTAGGTGTCCGATAAATGGTGGTTAATTAGCTAAAAATGGCATTCTTAGCTCAGTTGTCCCATTACTTAGGGCCCCCTCTCCAGAAGATGGCTTTTAAATCTAAGGCACAGCAAAAGTGCTTTCCAATCAACGCAACATAGGAGGCGTGCTCTACCTGATATCCAAAGAAGACCATCAGCCACATATCCAGCGTGACACGAAAGGGATCGGTCAAAGGACTGCACAAAAGTCCATTTGTTCTTCTTGGGGCAGTATCTTTCCACTGTTGGCAGAACCTGGCGCAGTTCATTTCTGCCCCCTACCGCATAGAGGTATTCATCCATGGCACCCAGCACAAAATGCTCCCGGCAGTTTTTCATGGGTGCTATCTCTGCCCAGGAATTACTGCGAGGGTCATAGCGGCAGGCAGTCCTCACGGCACACGTCCGGCCACTGGCATGCTCCACTTCCCCTCCGGCTACAAACAGGAAGTCCCCCATGACCGCCACACAGTGATGGCTCCTTCCCACTGGCATAGGAGCCAGCTCACTCCAGTTGGCAATGGCGGCTATGAGAGCGTTCTCCTGATCCACGGGATTGAAGTACCGAAGCTCCTTGACTTTACAGACCTCACGCTTTTTCCCACCAATGATATAGAGAGTGTCTGACTGGAACCGCGGTTTGGTCCTGCGGGTCTGCCACACAGGCTGGGCATAGATGCTTTGGTGGTATTCCAGGGCCTCATTGACGAGGGCAGTTGCCGTCTCACTTGCCTGGACCAGGGGGTGGGATAGGGCAACCGTGTGGAGGGTATCCACATCCATTAGTCCAAAGCGGATGTACTGCAGCAGCTCGTCCAAATGCTGGTAATGGCAGTTGTGTTCCAGCCACCTCACGGCTAGCTGAAACAGAAGGAAGCGGAATGAGAGAGAGAGACACAAGGTAAGGCGGGGTGGGGTGGATGGCAGCAACCACACCTGGCAAATCTCTGCCGTTCTCTCAGCAACTAAAACTGCTACATAGCATAACACTGGACTATGTTGGTGCCTAGGTAGGATTTTCTTTTCTTTTCTTTCTTTCTTTTTTATTATTTATTTATTTATTTATTTGGACCACTAGAGATACTAGAAGAACTTAACACAGCACTTTTGGAAAGAGAAAGAGAGAGAGGGGAGAAGGGAAGGAAGGGAAAGGGGGAAGGGAGGGAAGGAGGGAGGGAGGGAGTTAAGTAGCATTCTCAGGGCTTATGATATCTTTTAGGATGAACAGTAATTGCCTTTCAAAGAACAAAAGTACTGTGAGACAGCCTGTCCCCTTCATCTGCATTGCAAACACCTAACCACCAGGAAAACCCATGATAGGTAGTGCCATCATAGCTCAGCTAATGTAGGTCAACCTCAGATGAGGGGACTCTGCCAATATGAGCAATGTGAGAAGCCACGTGATCCCCTGAGACCACAGGATGATCTTGAGAGAAAATCAATATTCCCCTAAGAATGATTTAGAAGAAAGAAAAGGCTACCTCCACCCCTTTGGTAGGTACAGCCATCAGGAGGAAACAAGACTAGATAAAGTAACATTGCAACCTATACAATTCTCCCCCACTCTTACTTTTCACCACGAAGACCATTGTCCTTTGCAATGTAAGGTGCCCGTGGTTGGTTTAGAATCATTTCCACAAACAGGAGACAAAAGAATTTATCTCTGTATTATGGAAACAATAGCAGAATGCAATGCTAACTTAACTATCATGACTTGATACTTTGAGTGTGTTTAAGCCGACTTACACACTAACATAAGCTAGTATACCGAGGACATCCCATTGACACAGCTAACATTGGTGATTCCTAGCAGTATCCATATAAAACTGAGTCTCCTAGAAAGTCCTGGCATGGAACTGAAGGAACTGGAAGGGGAAAGGGACGGATTTGAATACTAGATTTTACTGTTTATTTGCTCTCTCGTGGAACTGCAGTTTGGGTCCTCCCTGTGTAGGTGCTGCCCAATCTACAGAAGGACAGAGGGGAGGTCTGCCATCCTCAGACCAGTATTCCCCAGTGAAGTGATCTGGGCTTGAACTGGTATAAAGAATCGTCTCAAAGTCTCTGTGGCACGGAAGGATTCCATGCTGCCGGGGTTTCGCCATCTACTTGATAAATGGCTCCAAAAGGCGAAGTGCATTGTGGGCTTGTCCTCTCACCTGGAAAAAGTAAGTGGAGGCAGAGACGCTACATCTGCCATGTAGTGAATCCCTCTCTTCATTAACAACTGTGCAATTAAATGAAATGAAAAAAGAACCCCACTGGGTACCAATGAGGCAGGGACCACAGAGGGAAGATAAATAACACTCTATAGAGGTTGTTTTTTTTTTTAATAGACGAGTGCATTTTTATTTAAATAAGACATCAACCTGATGAAGGAAAAATATCTTTGTATGGTAACCAGCAGTAATCAAAGATGCAAGAGAAACACATCCTTTGTCTTCCCCCAGTCTCTGCTAGTGCGGAGAGCATTCTCATATGTGGCATCTCTTTCTCTCCATGTCCGTTTTAGAAGTCTTGGGAGACGGGGCCTCCCATTTTCCCCACAGAGAGGTAACTCAGTAACTCAGAAATAAATGCCTTTTTGTTTGCTGCTCACGAGCTCTCAAAAGTTCTCAGAAATAAAGTCACCCCACTAAAAACGGTCAGAAACCAAGTATGTTTTCTGACACACGCACAGCCTTTGCTACTGCTCCTCATGGGAGCAGCTGCAGCTGATCGGGCTTTGCTGTGCACCAGGTTCTCAGCCTCCACCCGGTTCTGCAAGCCCCGTGTGAAAACAGCACCGGGCGAACACTAGATAAGGCTCGTGCCGCCAAAGCCTCGTTGTCAGCACGCACCTGCCTACTTAATTAGTTCTTTCTCTCGACATCAATCAGTTTTGCCTAAGCCACAATCAGTCTTCCATGTCACCTCTAAACACACAGTTTATCATTCTCTTTCTAGGACATGAGACGTACACAAGCCTCAGCTCTGTCTGGTTTTTAGGAACTCTCAATTCAAACCGACAACGAACCAGTGGTCACAGCCTTTTCCTTCCCACGCCATGTTCTGAAACTTTCCATTCTCCCAATAAAATACATGAATATTATACGGTAATCTGTGCAACTACTACTGTATAGTTTTGAGATGATTTTGATTTCTGGATATCATTTTTATGCTTCTATAACTTATTGACATTTTCAGAGCATGATGCCTGCTATACATGAGTTTATCTAGGAAATGTAATATACAATAACTGTTCTGCTGTCAGCTTCAAACCACACTTTCACACGAGTTACCAAGTTTTCGGGTTCAAATGCAGAGTCTGTCTTACTAGATAAGAATGCTGGGGCCAGGCAGTGGTGGTGCATGCCTTTAGTTCCAGCACTTGAGAGACAGAGGCAGGTTGATCTCTGTGAGTTTGAGGCCAGGCTGGTCTACAAAAGTGAGTTCCAGGACAGCTAGGACTGTTACATAGAGAAAGTTTGGAAACACTCCCTCCTCCAAAAAGAGTGGTGGAATCAGGCATCAATCTTTCTAATAAACCTTAAAGCTACACAGGCCAATGCCATGGTACCTGTCAAGATGTGCACAGGGCAATGCCACTGTCCCTGTCTAGATGTGCACAGGCCAATGCTACTGTCCCTGTCTAGATGTGCACAGGGCAATGCCACTGTCCCTGTCTAGATGTGCACAGGGCAATGCCACTGTCCCTCTCTAGATGTGCACAGGCCAATGCTACTGTCCCTTCTAGATGTGCACAGGCCAATGCCACTGTCCCTGTCTAGATGTGCACAGGCCAATGCCACTGTCCCTGTCTAGATGTGCACAGGGCAATGCTATTGTGCCCGTTGCATTCTTTTCACTCTAATAAAATGTCTGTCAGAAGCAAGTTAAGTGAAGAAAGATTTCCTTTGGCTCACAGTCTTAGAAGATTATTGTCCGTGAAGACTAAGGAATCACATTGGCCTCTATGGTGACAGAAGCATGGGGTTGTAAGGTGTACTGTGGCTACAATCAGAAAGCTGAAACCAAGACCGGAAGTGGTAGTCTACAGTCTTCTAAAATCCACTCCCTGTAGCATGAATAATAAAAACCCAGAGGCAGGTATTGGGGCTCAACCTAAAAAACAGAAAAGCAAAGCAGCCAAGCCACTAGAGAAGTCTTACCTCTACCAAGGCTGGGCGAATGCAGATTGAGCAGACTAAGCAGCCTAAGCCTCTCTGTCCTCCCAGTTTATGTTCCCTCTAGTGCTGGGATTAAAGGCGTGTGGCTCCCTAGTACTGGGATCAAAGGTTTGAGGCACCACCACCTGGATCTGTTTGTTTCTGTATTGATCTTGTGTAGCTCAGGGTGGCCTTGAACTCACAGAGATCCATCCACGTCGGTCTCCCAAATATTGGGATTAAAGGTGTGTACCACCACCACCTGACCTCTACCTTTGCCCTTATGATCTTTAAACAAGCTTTATTTATTAAAACAGATAAAATAGCTCTATAACTCCCAGTGAACCGCCTCTGCCAGCAGGTCCACCGCTCACTACTCCACAGCCTCGGAAATCAGTGTCATTAGGCGGTGACGAAGTGTTCAGACGTGAGTCTGCAGAGGATACTCCTCTGTACTTCTACCTACCTCAGTTTAAACAACTCCATCAGGAACTGTCCCTTCCTAGACCACAAGGAGCTTCATTCAAGCTAAGGAGATAAATTAAGGAGTTAATTCAACTAACCTGTCTCAGCCTTGGTTCTTTTTTCATAAGGACAGTAGCCGGTCCATGGTGCTACAAATGTTTGCTACATGGGCAGAATTTTATTTTCTTAGCCCGTTTCTGCCAGTATTCTTAGTTATTATCACTACTCTATTCCTTTATATTTATTTAAATATTTAAAAAAAATTTTCAAGACAGGCTTTCTCTGTGTAGCTTTGAAGTTGTCCTGGTACTTGCTTTGTAGCCCAGGCTGCCCTCAAAGTCACAAAAAATCTGGCCAGCCTCTGCCTCCTGAGTGTTGGGATTAAAGATGTGCACCTCCACCCCCAGCACATTTATTATTTATCTACTACAGGCTTCCATTGATGCTTTATTATCTCTCCAATTCTGAACGCTCTCAAAATCCCACAATGCAGCACATGGTGCACTCACCTTCTATGTATAAAGCCTTTGCCTTGCCCTTGCTTGCTCGATGCTGAACAGTGATATTTGAGGTTCCCAACAAAGCAATGAACACTGTAATCTTTTAAACTTTCAAATTAATAAGGAAACTTTCGGGCAAGAATAAACTTTTGGTTTCAATGTCTTAATTTTACAGGCATAAACTGAGTCCAGACAGCTATAAACTGAAGCTATCTAAATACTTGTGCAAACATTGCAACTAGAAACCACTGTTCCAATTACATAATGTGTCTGCCTTTTACACCAACTTGTCATTATTTTCTCACAATTAACTTTAAAATAGAACCCAAGCAAATATGCTCTGTATAATATGTAATTCAAATAACTGAAAATGCTCCAGACAAGAAAAATAAAGTATACTTGTAAAAATAACTATACTTTGCTCCAGAACAAATTGACAGTATTTTCAGCAAATCTCATGAGTTCTTTCAAAAATAAACAGCATACACTTAAAGGTACCAATTGAAGACTTTGCAGGTAAAGAGCAGACATTCAGGGATGTCTTTACTTTGTGTCTTTATTGTTCCACGTTCTTACACACACACACACACACGCACGCACGCATGCACATATATAATTTTTTAAATTTTTATTGAGTTCTACATTTTTTCTGCTCCCCTCCCTGCCTCTCCTCTCCCCTTCAACCCTCTCCCAAGGTCCCCATGCTCCCAATTTACTCAGGAGATCTTGTCCTTTTCTACTTCCCATG